GGGCACCCCACAGTGGGACTGATGGCACTGGGGACCCCATAATGGGATCAGTGACACCGGGCACCCACAGTGGGACTGATGGCACTGAGGACCCCATAATGGGACTGATGGCACTGGGGACCCCATAATGGGATCCATGACCCCGGGGACCCCATAACAGGACTGACGACATTGGGCACCCCGCAGTGGGACTGACGACACCGGGGACTCCCCAGGGGGACCACTGACACCAGGCACCAACCTCCAGCCCCAGCTGCACCCACCCCACAGCACCCCCTCACCCAGGGGCTCCCCAAAACCGCTCCCCCCGCGCCAGGCAGTAAATCCCCAAATCCCGGAATGCCAGGAATGCCTTACCTGGCGAGCAGGGTGACCCTAACCCAGCCCAGAATCGCCCACGTCCCGCACCACCTCCTCACTGCCGCCCCGCAGCAGCATCACCCGCAGCATCTCCATGGCAGAGCTGGGGAGGGAGGGACAGCACGGCTCGGGATGGGCTCAGTTTGGGCTCAGGTAGGCTCAGTTTGGCTCAGTTTGGCTGTTTGGGCTCAGTTGGGTTCAGTTTCGGCTCAGTTAGGCTCAGTTTGGGCTCAGTTTGGCTGTTGGGCTCAGTTGGGCAGTTTGGGCTCAGTTGGGCTCAGTTTGGGCTCAGTTTGGCTGTTTGGCTCAGTTTGGGCTCAGTTTGAGCTCAGTTTGGCTCAGTTTGGCTGTTTGGCTCAGCTGGGCTCAGTTTGGGCTCAGTTGGGCTCAGTTGGGCTCAGTTTGGACTCTGGCTCAGTTGGGATGTTTAGCTCAGTTTGGGCTTGGGTTCAGTTTGGGCTCAGTTAGGTTCAGTTGGGCTCAGTTTGGGCTCAGTTAGGCTCAGTTTCGGCTCAGTTGGGCTCAGTTGGGCTCAGTTTGCACTCTGTTTGGCTCAGTTGGGATATTTAGCTCAGTTTGGGCTCAGTTCGGCTCAGTTAGGCTCAGTTTGGGCTCAGTTTGGCTCAGTTCGTCTCAGTTGGGCTCAGCTGGGCTCAGTTTGCACTCTGGCTCAGTTGGGACGTTTAGCTCAGTTTGGGCTCAGGTGGGCTCGGGCAGTTTGGACTCAGTTTAACTGTTTGGCTCAGTTGGGCTCAGTTGGGCTCTGAGCTCAGTTTGGGCTCAGTTTGGCTGGTCGGCTCAGTCTGGCTCAGTTTGGCAGTTTGGCTCAGTTGGGATGTTTAGCTCAGTTTGGGCTCAGTTTGGGCTCAGTTTGGCTGTTTGGCTCAGTCTGGCTGTTTGGCTCAGTTGGGTTCAGTTTGGCACAGCTGGGCTCAGTTTGACTGTTCAGCTCAACTGGGCTCAGTTTGGGCTCAATTTGACTCATTTTGGCAGTTTGGCTCAGTTAGGCTCAGTTTGGGCTCAGTTTGACCATTTGGCTCAGCTGGGCTCAGTCTGGCTCAGTTTGACTGTTCAGCACAGTCTGTCCCAGTTTGACTGTTTGGCTCAGTTGGGCTCAGTTGGACCATTCAGCTCAGTTTGGCTCAGTTTGGCTCACTTGGTCTCAGTTAGGCTGTTCAGCTCAGTTTGGCTCAGTCTAACTCAGTCTGGCTCAGTTTGGCTCAGTCTGGCTCAGTTTGACTGTTCAGCTAAGTTTGGCTCAGTTTGACTGTTTGGCTCAGTTGGGCTCAGTTTGGCTCAGTTTGGGCTCAGTCTGGCTCAGTTTGGGCTCAGTCTGGCTCAGTTTGGGCTCAGTTTGGGCTCAGTCTGGCTCAGTTTGTGCTCAGTTTGGCTCAGCTGGGCTCAGCTGGGGTCAGTTTGACTGCCTGGCTCAGCTGGGCTCAGCTGGGCTGTTCAGCTCAGTTTGGGCTCAGTTTGACTGTTCAGCTCAGTTTGGCTCAGTTTGGGCTCAGTTTGACTGTTCAGCTCAGTTTGGGCTCAGTTTGGGCTCAGTTTGACCACTTGGCTCAGTCTGGCT